ACAGCGTCTCCACGACATGGCGGCAGCAACAATACTACAGCGAGAATAAAAGTTACGCCTTCTTTCTTTACGTAAACATTTGGGCGGCGTTATGCAAATCTTCCCACACAGGACGTAGACATGTGGGGGCGTGTTTAAACGAGGCGTTTTAGGAGTCTTAACTTTTATAAAGAATATCTCTTTGGGTTTGAGACTTTAGTCTTTGCAACTTTAGGGATCTTATCTATTCACAAACAGCTTGTAACACTCCAAAGAGAAAGGAAAACTTGAAATCGCATCATATGACCCTTTTAAGGTTTGAGGATTTGTGATAGCTGCACTTGAGGATCTAAATCTTTGCAAAATCACGTCAAACTTTGACTTCGACAAAGGTGTTTTACTGTATGCATACTGTCAGTGGAGTGGAGGCGTTAACCGAACTCCAGTGACATCGAGTCATAAGACCCAAGTGATTATTTTTCAATTCAAATTGATATTACAGTCACAGCCAATGAGAACATATTTGATTGTTAAATACACAGCCATGTGGATGAAGTGGCTGGACCAATGAGATTTCAGCGTGGGCAGTGCTGCCCAGTGTGATGAGACAGAAACCGCATGTCAAAGACAAGGTGTCAATGTTGATATTTGTTAACTGTAACAGTGATTTTGCTTATTAAAATAAAGCTGAAATAATCTAAAATATAAATAGATGAAAACTTAAAATTAAAACAAGTTTGAAGTACTAAACTTCAAAACTTCAGATAAGCTGAAGTACTAAAATTACTAAAACAAACCTGAATAGAAATAAAAAATAATAATAATTACCATATTACCATAATTAAAATGAAAAGTGGAATATAAAAACAAAAGGTAATTAGAAATATTAATAAATACTATAAATAGTAAAATAACATCGTCACATGTCACTTGAAGTAGCCATAAAAATGCAGAGAAATCCTAGTTTCCTTTCATGGGAACTTCGAACTGCGTCCTCTAGGGGTCGCTATGGGGGAACGCCTCGTCGTGACCCGTGTCTGAAGCATACATTGAAAAAACACCAACTCGTTGGCCGGCGACAGCCATGACGTCACTACCGGTGCGACTATAGTATAAATAGGCGCCGGGAGCATACATCATTCTCTTCTTCGTCTTCATTGACTGTTTTGTTTGAAGCGTGCATTTCTGTGGTAAGAGCGA